ACTTCACATCTTTTCTCTGTTGTTGTCCTTTCTCTGTTTACTTTGGGATTAAATTTGCTTTACTGTTCCTTGTGATTTTTTCCTTTGACCCTTGGCTTAATATAGAAGGGTTATTTATTTGAAAACAATTTGGATTTTTCCAGATATTCTGTTGTTGATTTCTTGTTCAACTCCCTTGTCAGAGACCTTTCTTTGATTGATTTTGTTTCTTTCACATTCATTGAAGTTTGCTTTATTGTCCTGAGAACAGTGGATCTTGATGAATGTTTTGTGTCCATCTGTAAATGATATGTATTCTATTTTTGTTGGCTGAACAGTTCAATAAATGTCAGTTAGGTTGTGTGATAATAGTGTTTTTAAAGCTTCTGTTAGCTCTACTGATGTTCTGTCTGCTTGTTCAGTTAGATGTGTTGAAATCTCTATGATTGTGACCCCATCTTGTCTCCCTTTAGCTCTTTTGGTGTGTGCATGTCCGGTGACTTGGCCCATTGTCACTTTACGCAGTGTCCCTGTTGTCCCTGGCACGTCATCCCAGGCTCCCTCTAATGTGAATGCGGCCACTGCAGCTTTCTTTTGATTAGTATCAGCATGGTGCACCTTTTCCATCCTTTGGCTTCTAACCTGTTTGTGTCTTTATGTTTAAAGTTTATTTCTTGTGGGCGATAGTCTCGCCTTTTTATCCAATCTGACAATCCCTGCCTTTTAAAAAAGCGGGTTTAATTGTGTGTCTAGGGAAACTCTCCCGTTTCTCCTTTACTCTTACTCTCCAGTCACAGAATACGTCACTTCTGGTCACCAAATGTATGGGTGCTTTCCCCCCATGACCAGTTCTCCAACCCACGTGGGGTGTCCTCCAACTGAACTCACTTCTCACACCATCTGTCCAGAGTTAGTGTCACATCCCACCAGGAAAGGCTCAGTCCCACGAGACTGCCCCCCCGACTCAGGAGCAACCCCCAGGTGGGGCAGGTCCCCGGGTTACCCACAGCCTCTGTCCAACATGGCTCCAAATGGGGTTCCCAGGAGCCCCTTCTGGAATCTTCTGATCTGCTAGAGCAGCTCACAGAACTCAGGGGAGTGCTGACCCCCAGTCCTCCGTTTATCGCTTAGCAAAGGGTGTGATGAAGGATACGGATGAAGCTGGATCCACAGCTTCTATCCTGTCTCTGTCCACAGCCGGGTGGAGACATGCAGGGTGGGTCCTGGGAGGGTCCCAAGCACAGGAGCTTCTGTCCTGGTGGAGCTGGGGGTGCATCACCCTCCCGGCATGTGGACGTGCTCACCAACCTACAGCTTCCCTGAACCCCACACAAGTTTGGGATTTTTATGGAAGTTTTATCACATAGGTGTGATCAGGTGTTCACTGCATCCCCAGCCCCGTTCCCCCTCTCTGGAGAATGGGGAGCAGGGGTGAAAATGCCTGCTTGGGATCATAGCTCGGTCTCTCTGGTGACCTGTCCCCGCCCAGGAGCCCACCCAGAGTCGCCTCATCAGAACAGAAGACACTCCAGGCTCCCAGGAGGTTAACAGGGTTTCAGGAGCTCCATGCCAGGACCCGGGGGCAGAGACCCAACACGCGTGTTTCTCATATTATCCACACCGGGATTAATTGACATTCAGTAAATAGCACATGTTTAAAGTACACAGTTTGATAAATAAATATCTACACACACACACATTTATATCCAGGTAAACAGCTGCTGTCAACGCTGTGTACAAACCTTGGTGTGGACATGAACCATGTATGTATGTCTGCATACAGCTAATTTTCAAGAGGTACAAAGGCATTTATCCTTTGTTGAAAAGGATAGTCTTTTCAGCAAATGGTGTTAGAACAGTTAGATATTCATATGCAAAACAATGAATTTAAGTATTTCAAAGATCTAAATATATAACATAAAGTGGTAAAACTTCTAGAAGAGAAAACACAGGAGAAAATCTCTGTGACTTGGGTTAGGCAAAGATTTCTTAGCATAACCCGAAAAGTATAATCCATAAAAAACCAAATTGGTAAATTGAACTTCATTAAAATTAAAAGCTTATGCTTTTCAAAATACACTGCTAAGAGAAAGACAAGCTTAAGACTGGGGGAAAATATTTGCAAATCACATATGTGATAGAGGCCTTGTTTCCAGATATGTGGAGAGCTCTCAGAACTCAGTATTAAGAACTGCCCAGGGGCGCCTGGGTGGCTCAGTCATCAAGTGTCTGCCTTCGGCTCAGGTCATGATCCCAGGGTCCTGGG